GGCCGCTTGCATTCTTAGTTTTTTAGCTTCCTTTTTGTTGTTTGGGAGAGTTCCATCCTGCAAGTAGGTAATAATTCAATTGCGCCAGTACCAAGTCAAACTTATAGATTTTACCTCGATTTGGTCTTGTGACGAGTTGAGGAGATGGACTACGCTTTTATCCCCGATCGTGATACCTTTGGCGGCGGCAGCCATTTTTGCGAGGCCATCTGCTTCGCTGTTTTGAGCTCGTGGGATCTGGTCGAGCCGGCATTCGTCGAAATTGCACAACAACTTACAGATCTCGGCTTCATATTAATGCAACCTTTGTTCTTTGATTCAGAGAGTCCCTATAACTTGGTTGAACACGAGCTGAGAATCACAACAGAGTTTCAGCCGCTTTGCCCTATATTTGAGTGCTGACCTCAGCCCTACGATTACGGCCTCATACTCGGCCTCTTGTTAGTCATATCTGGGAATCTTATGGACTGGTGAATTACTTTACCGCTAGTAACCTCAAGTACAATTCCCAGTCCAGATCCAGAAGCATTGGATATGTCGTCGGTGTACAGGACCCGGAGGTCTTGTATTTGAAAAGAAGCTTGAGCGTCTTCCTTCTTGGCCTCGGGCATTACTTTTGCGCTAAAGTCTGCGATGAAGTCGGCGAGCACTTGCGACTTTATCATTGTTCGAGGCTGGTATATGAATGTCGTGCTCACTTAGCTCAATGGACCATTTGGTCAACCTCCCCGACATCTCGAGTTTATGTAAAATGCTTCTTAAAGGGAAAGTGGTAATGACCGAGATAGGTTGGCACTAGAAATAGGTTATAAGCTTTCGTGAATCTATGACCAATGCTAGGGCCAATTTCTTTAGGTGAGGCTACCACGTCTCGACATCGACAAGTGTTTTACTGATGTAATAAACAATATATTGCATACCTTTGATTTCTCAAACTAGGACTACATTTACTACTACTTCGGAGATGGCGAGATAGACGAGGAGGTTTTCCCCAGGTCCAAGCTTTGAGAGTAAAGCTAAGCCTTCAGTTCTCATAGTGCTTGCACGCACTCGGGCGTCCACTAGAGGCCGCTATCCTTTTTGAGTACGCCAAAAAGCTATGACATCTATTGGACGACCGCGAGATAAATCTCGATAGGACGGCGATTCTACTAGTCAATCTCTGGACTTGCTTCTTGGTAATTAGTTGTTCAGGTATCTTGTCGGTAGCCTTGATTTGATCTGGGTTGACTTCAATCCCTTGATGTGATACTAAGAAACCCAAAAAATTTTCCGAGGCTACGCCAAACGCGCATTTCTCGGGGTTTAGTGTCATCCAGTATTGTCGAAAGCTTCCTTCAAGTGGTCGATATGGTCTTCTTCCCCCATGGATTTTACCACCATGTCGTCGATATATACCTCAATGGTCTTGCCGAGTTGATCCTTCAACATTCTAGTGACTAATCTCTGATAGGTAGCCCCTGCGTTCTTCAATGCAAACGTGATGACGTTATAACAATATGTTCCCCTGTGGGTGATGAACGTGATTTTCTCTTGGTCCTCTTCTTCCATGAGTATTTGGTTATAACCCGATTATGCATCGAGGAAACTTAGCAGCTCGTGCCCGGTTGTTGCGTCAATGAGTTGGTCGATATATGACAATGGAAATGAATCTTCCAGTCATGCTTTGTTTAGGTTTGTGAAGTCTACACACATCCTCCATTTCCCTTTTTTTTACCATTGCCATGTTGGCTATGCATTTAGGGTACTCCGACTCCTTAATAGAGCCATTTGCTAATAGCTTCTCTACCTCCTCGGGGACGACATCGTTGATGGTGGGGTTGAACTTTCGTCGAACCTGCCTTACCGGGGGATAGAAAGGGTCGACGTTCAATTTGTGTGTGGTGATATCTTTGTGGATTCCTAGCATATCTGCATGGCTGAAAGCAATAGATCCGCGCTAGTTATTAAGAATTGACTAAATTAATCCGATTCTCGGATATTGCAACCGATGTAGGCCTTTTTGCTTGGGTCGCAATGGTCTAATTGAACGGGGTTGAGGTCCTCTATAGTTGATTCAGCGGCTTCGACTGTTTCAGGGTCCATAATGACTTCCCTAGCTCCTTCTTGTGGCGACCTCGACCCTGCTGATTTATATTCTTCTTTTTCCTTATCTTTATTTTGTTGAGTTGTCGTGCTATCCATAGCGATGCACTAGCAGTCCCGGGACATGCGATGTTCCCCTCATATGCTGAATATTCACCAAGGTGTTGGGAACTTGATCACTTAGTATAAGGTGGAGGGGACGACTCTCAGGATGTATCCATGGTCGTCATACTATGGCATTGTATGTGGTGGCCTGGTCCATGATGCAGATCATTGTCTCCAGCGTTATGCCACCAACAAGGAAGAGGAGTGTAATTTCTCCGAAGGTCCGTTCAACTGCATTGTTAAAATCGATTAGTATGATGCAACGTGGCACTATCTTGTCCTCGAGTCTCATCTGGACGAGGGCTCTGGGATGGATGATGCACGCTCTGCTCTCATCATCTACCATGATATATTTAACATCAGTATCTAAAATTCGTAAAGTAATGACTAGAGCATCGTTGTGAGGGAAAGTCAAACCGTCGACATCTGACTCGTCGAAGATGATACTTTCTTCAAGTCCGTCATGCCGTTCGTGTGTGATCGATCTTTTGAGCTTGTGGGTGGTAGTGAACTTGACGCCGTTGATGGAGGCGTCGTCGCCGCCTCCAATAATCATATTGATGGTACGAGGTGGTGAGGGCGGCTTTGGCGGGCGTTGACGTTCTCAACCCCTGGCGAAGGTTCTCATTCCTTTGTTACTCAGCAGCTCTTTGAGGTGCTCTTGCTGCAACATGTTCGCTACCTCTTGCCTTACAACAATGCAATCTTCTGTTCTGTGTCCGTGTTCCTGGTGGAATTCGTAGAGGGCATCAGATTTCTTGGTGTTTGGATCGGACCTCATCTTTGGCGGCCACTTTACCTTTGTTTCGAGCTTCTCCAGGGTGTAGGCTATCTTTGTAGGTGAAACACAAAAATTGTGAGTAGATAACAAGGGCATACCTCTCTCGTTCCTATGAGTCCCCGTCCTCGGCCTAAACGGGCCATCATCATAGCGAAAGGAAGGAGGGGCGGGTGCCCTGACATAAGGCTGATATCGTTCCCTATTTCGCCGTGAGACTAGGTGATCCCTCTTCATGTTATCTCTTCGTTCTTTCCTAGGCTCGGTTTTTACTGAGACGAGTCATCGAGTTAGTCCGTTGAGGTCGTCATTGTCTACTCGGACCTCGGCACAATAGGCATTATGGATTTCATCCCAAGTGGTTGGAGGATACTTCATCAACCGACTCAGTAGCTTTCGGGTCGCTCTTCAACCTTCTCTACTTAACCCGTTCTGAAAGGCTGCGACTGACATCCCTTCGGACACATTTGGTAAGGTCATCCTTACCCTGTTGAATCGGGCAAGGAAGTCCCTCAGTCCTTCTCGGGGATTGCTTGATAGCGAAGGTGTCGTTTACTCTCGTTTTGGCTTTCTTGGCCCTGGCATGTGCCGTCACGAACTTGTCGCCCATTTCTTCGAACGTTTCTATGGAGCAGGCTGGTACTGTGAATACCATGTTAATACCACTCCAGTGAGGGCTTCGCCGAATTTCTTCAGCAAAATGGAGGACACCTGTTCCTTGGTGAGGTCGTTGCTTTTCACGGTGGTGACGTAATGAGTCACATGGTCTTCAGGGCCGGTTGTCCTGTCGTATATTCTGAGATACGGTGGCATTTTGAAGGTCTTTGGTATGGCATGTGGGATGGCTTCCTCGCTATATGGCTGCTCTACGAACCTGCCGGCGTCCCTTATCGATTGTAACTTAAGGGCGCCCGATATTTTGTCTACTCTTTCCTGGTGTTCTTTCATTTGGTCTCTAAGCATTGTGTTTTCATTCTCCATTTCTTCAATTCTTTTCAAAATAGTGGCAAGGATACTGTCACCTGCACTGTCAGTAATATTTTGAGTTATACCTGGAGTTGGGGGGTTTGGTTGATCGCCCTGTTTGTCCCCTCTGTAAAGCCCCATAAATTTTTATAATTAATTCAAGTTAATTTTAAGCTTGGGAATACAACTTAACTAAACCCAGTTATGCAAGATTATATGAATGGAACTGGTTATTGAATGCTCAGGGATAATTATTTTATTGATGGTTCAGTATTAGATTAATGGGAAATAATTAGTCATCAAACTCACTAGAATAATATGAAGTTACAAAGAAGTGAGTGTTTGGACTATTATTCATGGGAATACTTGGATATGATTTTTATACAATGGGATAAGTGTTGAAGCTATATTGAAACTTAAGGAAATTAAAATAAAAAGTAACGTGATGGTTGGCTAGAAGAGATGTAAAGCTCTAAATTATAATTTGTCACTTGAGACAAATGACATTTTATATGGAGAACTGAATGCAATATCTTGTACGTGAATTGGGGGACAACTTCACAAAAGATTCAAGAAGGAATAATGCTGAAATTATAAAGGAGTGGAATGTGATTGGAAACAGTGAATGATTGGTTGGCTAAACTAAGAAAATTAGGCAAAAGGCGTCAGCTATGCCAAAGTATAGGCAGTAAGCTCAACTGAAAATGCCAAAGTAGACATCCCAAAATATGAATGAAAAAGCAGGGACGCGCGCGATGGTCATGCAACGCGTTCCCTGCAACGTGCTTCGACTGGAGCCTTTAATAGGCATTTCGGGTGAGAGTATTTTATATTATTGAAAAAAGGTCAGATTTGTCCCTCTACTTTGGAAAATTATCTAGGTTTATACCTAATTCTAATATCGGTCCAAATCTATTCCTACCGTTAAGAAAGTAGACAAAATATCCCCAACCCTAACGGTTGTCCATGACTCAGTAACTAAAATGACACGGTGGACTCCATGTTTACTTTATTTTTCATCTGTATCAATAAATAACCAAACCTACTAAAATTAGTCTTCTCCTTCTCAGCTAACATACCACTATTGCTGTAAATTCAAGGTTCTTCTCCTGCTCCACAAAATTATTTCATAAATTTCCATCATTACCGGTCAGTGTTCGAACCACCACTCCAGTCGTCTTCCACCAAGAAAACTCCACCTTCTCTCCACCTAGAAAATCATCAGCAATCACTCATCGGAAATACTCACCAAAAAGCTTGAGAAAAAGAAGAAGAGCTAAATCCAAAAGAAAGAAATCCTTCATAAAAACCCATTTACCAGTGACCTCCTGTTTCTTTTTAAAATTCCACCTAACGGAAAAAACTTTTTTTTGCTAAAAAGTTTTCTTTACTTCTTGAACATATCAAAACCAGTAAATCTTTCTCGCAAACAAAGAAGAATCAATCAGGTGAGAATCGTTTCTGGAATTTTTGATCTATTTTGGACTGAATAGAACAAAGAATCTGACATTGGAATGCAGAAACTATTCAAAGCTGCAACTTGTTATTTAAATTAGAATTGGTTAAATCTTTGTGCCTTGAATCTGGAAAGCTAGAGCTCCCGTGACGAATTTCTTGTCATTTTATTTTGCCAGAAAGTTTGCTTGGATTTCTGATTTTGAAAGGAATTGTGCTAAGAGAAGGACGTAAAGGAAAAAAATAAAAATAAAAATAATAAAGAATAAACAGTTGAGGGGTGTGGGTCGGTTATGAGTTTGTGAAGAGAAATGAGTATAGGCAGGAAGGGAGGGGTCAAAAAAAAAGGGCATGGGTCAAAAAAATGAGCATGGCTCTCTACAATTCGGGTTGGTATTTGCCCAGTTGGCACATTAAGTGAGGGGTCCTACTGTTACGTTGGAAATCTGTTAGCGTTAGGGACTATTTTGTATACTTTACTAACGATAGGCGTATATTTGGACCGAAAGTAAAAACGGGTATAAACGTGACTAATTTTCAATAGTATAGGAACAATTTAGGCCTTTTTCCCTATATTATTTTGGTTCAAGTCTTTTAAGGTTTAGAGAGAGGGAGAAGCTCTAGACCATAAATGATACTTCAAGGTGAGAACTTAATACCCTCTTTGTTAAATTTGATCCTTTAATTTCATCTCCCAATCCAACTACATGAAATTCATAGATTTTTGAAGAATTTCTCAAGAGCATTTCAAGAACACAAGTTTTGAAAATTTAGAGTTTGACAAAGGGGTAATCCCTCCACTCCATTTATATATATTATACTTCATGGACTTAGTAGAGTATATTTATGATGAAAGATTTATATTTAAGCATCTATTCATGAAATCTTAGAAAGCTAGTCTTGAAATTAACAAATTTGTAGGTAGAGAAGATGAATAGTATTTGGTTTGTTTGAAGATTCCATCTTGAGCTTCTAATGGAACGACTAGACTGCATAACATGTTTAGTGGATGAATTAGAGTTAAAAACCAAGGATTAACCTTTAAATGGTGAGATAAGGTTTTTGTAAAACTTGTGAAATTGGACCGTGTTAGGAACTTAGTTGAATTGGTTTGTATTGTTGCAATGCGTTATTAATATATGTGAGATCATAAATGTAGATTATGAATTGTTGACGTGGTTGAACTTTTGGGTAAGATTTGGAAAGCGACTTGAGGTAAGTTGATTAAAACTTACTCTACTTGAGGGATTTTCTCTAAACATATGTTTTGACTTGATACATGAGATTGTTCGTAAATGTGTATCCGTATTCGTGGGGACAAGCAAGAAAGGATGTCACCATATGTTTTTGAGTCGTGTTACATATGAAGTGATGTCATGTTATTTTGACAAATCTTATTATTAAAAACTTGTTAGCAAATGGCACTTGAGGCAAACGTTATAAGCTTTATTAAAAAAATGATAAAAAGATTAACATTTGAGTTCTATTGTTACTTTTATTTTATAAAATGAGAAATGTAAGATAAAAAGATTAACATTTGAGTTCTATTGTTACTTTTATTTTATAAAATGAGAAATGTAAGATTTCTAAAAAAATTATATTTTGAAGTAGCACTTGTTAAATCTTTAAGGATTGAAATCTCAATTTTTTTGTTGCTTTATATAAAATGAGATAGGATACTCATTTGATTTGTTCGAACGATTTGGATTAACTATGAACGTCATGATTTGATAAAATAGATATTCTGAGGCTATTTGGCTACAAATTTATTTTTGGAGTATCAAATATTTTGGGAGTTACTCATGTTCCCCGAGATTGGCTTCGAATATATCGTGTTCGTCGTCACAAAACTACACGTGTCGGTGTAGGCATAGATGACCACTCTGTGGTATAGATTACAACAGAGCAATCCTCCTTGAGAGGGTGTTATTTCTGCTAAGTTGATTCGTACAACACTGCGATGAGACGACCTAAGCAAGTAGAGTATATGATACTTGTCGCAAGATACATAACCTAGTTTACCTTATTGTGTCGATGATGGTATAGTACTCCCGATGAAAGGTAAAAGATGATTTTGCTATGTATAGGCCTAAGGAGTTGAAATGATTTCAATGACTTAATAAAATTGAAATGGTTTTGCATGATTTTATTAGAATCATCGGTTGATATAAGTATTTAAAAAGTTTGTATCATGTTTTATATTTTACTAATCTTTTTATTTAAAAAAATAAAGTATGAACTGGTGTAAGGGTTTATCGCTTTATATAAAGTGTTGGTTCATATGTTTTGTAAAGCCTTGTCCTAGGAACTCTAGTTAGAGAGAGTCTATGACATTTATTAAGTACCATGGTGGTGTACTCAGCCCTCAAGGATCCCTCTCTAGGGTCCTGCTTTCTTTACATATTTTCAGGATAAGATGCGGCATGTAATGGGCGGATGAGGCTAGGATGACTCTCTCTACAAGGTACATAGTGAGGTACCATTTCTATTTCGTGGTAGATGTCATGTTGATCTTACTTTCTTCGAGTTGGGGTTTGTCCCAAGTATTGATTCTATTCTTGTCTCATAGAGATTCCATAGACAATTGTTGTTACTTTGGATTATAATTGAGAGTTATTCATATTGCATGCATGAAAGAAATATTGCCAACTTTATGTATTTTCAATTATTTAAAATGGTAGATTTAAAGATTGTGTTTCATATATGGTCTTAATTATTTAAAATAATTGTGTTTTTTTCTGAAAGACTTCCACATGCATCTATTAGGCATATATGGGTATTCTTGTACGAGTTGATCCACTCAGGTTGGGTAGTATGCCGGGTGCTGGTCACACGGTTTTGGGTCGGGATACCCTCGTTGTACCGCATGGGCTCTCGTGGTTTCTATGGTCGTGCATGGAGCTTATTTGTTGAGAACACTTACTAGGGTATCGGTTAGCCATGCTTCGAGGAGCTTTTTCATAGCATGTGGCATCCCTTCTCCGGTAGACGTGGAAGCTCCTTTTCCATTTGGTTTCATTGTGCTGCAATGAGGGAGGCGACCTTTCACGCGGGGGGGGGGGGGGGGGGGGAGGGGGGGGGGGGGGGGCAGTGGGCGTCACATCCTCGCACAATGTTTCATAGCTTTCATTGATGGAGTTCATGAGGTTAATGGGGACGTCACCTATCGCCCTAGTTCCATTTTCCTGGTTACCTGCCACGGAAATTTCAGTACGTGTGGAGAGGAGAAAAACTTTGTGGCTCGTTAGGTTAATAAGTCATGTGAGTTGTAGATCTAAAAAAAACAAAAATCTTAACTAAAAAAATTCCCACAGAAGACGCCAAACTGTTTGACTGTCACGACCGTAAACCCAAACCCGGTCGTGATGGCGCCTCTCGTGAAGACAAGGTCAGCTGACACACTTCCAATTCACATTAAGCAATTAAATAAATAAATAATAAGTCTTTAACAGAAATAAAATACAAAATAACAGTATAAGTTGCGGAATTAAAAACCAACACAGCCCGATATCAGGGTGTCACCAGTCATGAGCAACTAAAATAATACTACAGTCTGAAAGTCTAATCCACTACTACATCACTGAATCAAAAGGGAAATAAAATAGAGGGAGAATGCACTGGGCTGCGAATCGCCAAGCATCTACCTAGTAATTCTCTGAAGATCTGCTGGAAACTATAAACCCTCAGTAGCAGGACCTGTAGCGTCCGAATCTGCACACAGGCGTGCAGGGAGTAAAGTGAGTACTCCAACTCAGTGAGTAATAACAATAAATGAAGACTGAGCGATATAAAATCACGTTAAATAAAACAATAAGCTATAAGAGGCATAACAAAATCAGTAAACACAATTACACAGTGAAATTTCATAAAACACCTTTTAAGCAGTTAAACATGTAAAGGAAAAACAACCAGAAATGTAAACACACAAGAACTGCCCCGCGGGCTAAGTAACAACAACAGAATTAGCCCCTCGGGCTATATCTCATATCACAATGGGTGCCCGCGCTCACTGGGGGTGTACAGACTCCGGGAGGGGCCCCATACGGCCCAAGCACAATATAAAGCCATCTCGTGGCATCATAAACAGGCTCTCGGCCTCATACCAATAACAAGCCACCTCGTGGCGTACAATCTCAGGCCCTCGGCCTCATCATTATCATAATCAGTATATCACTGCTGCGGCATGTAGCCCGACCCATAAGTATCCTCACAGTACAGGCCCTCAGCCTTACTCAGTCAGAATCTCATAAGCCCCTCGGGCAACAGTAAGATATGAAGCTCAGCTCAAAAACAGCTTTAAAAATATCATTTAAAGTGTTTAAAACATAATAACATAGCTGAGTTTTTGAAACCAGTAAAATATGGCATGACTGAGCACAAATGTGAAATCAAATAGTGAGGAAAATATCAGTAAAAATCCCCTAAGGGTTCAAACAGTTGGCACGAAGCCCAAATATGGCATTTAGCCCAAAACAAAATAATATCAAACAATTAGCTATCATATACGCAGTAAAACAATCATTCGGGATGGACTAAGTCCCAATCCCCAACGGTGCACGACCCCAGGGTCGTCATCTAGCGTGTGTGTCACCTCAACATAGCCGAACGCTGTGTAATCCGGGTTTCATACCCTCAAGACAGCATTTAAAATTATTACTCACCTCAATCCGGCCCAAACTCTAGCTCGCAATGCCTTTGCCCTTCGAATTGGCCTTCGGATGCTCCGAACCTACCAAAATCAGAACGTAATCATCAAAATATGCTAAAGGGACAAAGCCCACTCGAATATAATCGAAAAAACCATGAAAATCCCGAAATTACCAAAACCCGACCCCCGGGCCCACGTCTCGAAATTCGATAAAATTTAGTCATTAGATTCCTTATCTCCCCACGAGTTCATACATATCAAAAGTTCCAAAATCCGACCACAAATGGTCTTTCAAATCCTCAATCAAAGGCTTAGGTTTCTAAGCCCTAGCTTCTCTAATTTTTATCCTCAGTTACAGCTCTAATCCGCGAATTAATACCATAAAAACGAGTTTTCATAATCCAAAACCTTACCTCAATGATGTCTCCTTGATTTCTCTCTTCAAAATCGCCCAAAGCTCCAAAATTCGTGTTTAAAAGTAAAGAAACCCTCTGAAAATCGCGAAGGAGGAAATATAACCATTCTGACCCAGGCTTTTCGCACCTGCGGTCCAGAAGTCGCACCTGCGTGACCGCTTCTGCGGTCCCAGTGGCCGCACCTACGGTTTTCACTTACTCGACCATTTCCGCATCTGCGATGTCCTCTCCGCACCTGCGCCATCGCAGGTGCGATCAATCAACCGCTTCTGTAGTCACAGCCTTCCTAGGCCTCATCCGCATCTGCGACTTGCTTCCCGCATCTGCGGGGTCGCACCTGCGATCCTTTAACCGCAGATGCGGCTATGACAGTAACAAAAATACTTCAGCTCTCCAACTTAATTCCAAACCTTCCGTCAACCATCCGAAATCACCCCGAGGCCCCCGGGACCTCAACCAACAGCACAAACACATCACATACTACTATTCAAACTTATACCAACCTTCAAAACACCTCAAACAACATCCAAACCACCAAAACACATCGAATTCAAGCCTAAGGTTCTAAAATCTTCCGCATTCCGCTTTTGATAAAAAAAAGTATGCCAAACCACGTCCGAATGACCTAAAATTTTTGCACACACATCCCAAATGACATAACGAAGCTACTGCAACTTCCGGAATTCCAATCCAACCCCTATATCAAAATCTCACCTATCAACCAGAAAACGCCAAAAACTCAAGTTTGCCAATTCAAGCCTAACTCTGTTCCGGACCTCCAAAACACATTTCGATCACGCTCCTAAGTCCCAAATCATCTCCCGAAGCTATCCAAACCATCAGAACTCACATCCGAGCCCTCTAACACATAAATCAACATCCGGTTGACTTTTCCAACTTAAGCCTTCTTAAAAGAGACTAAGTGTCTCAAACCTTCTTAAAACCTTTCCAAACCAGAACCAACCAACCCGATCACATATAAAACCGATAATTAAAGCAAATAGAAGCAAAAATGGGGGAAATGAAGCGGTAACTCATAAGACGACCGGCCGGGTCGTCACATCCTCCCCCTCTTAAACAAACGTTCGTCCTCAAACGAGTTAAGAAACATACCTGAAGCCTCAAGTAGGTGAGGATATCTGCTCCGCATCTCCCGCTTGGTGTCCCAGGTAGCCTCCTCCACGGGCCAACCTCTCCATTGCACTTTCACTGAAGCTATATCTTTTGATCGCGGCTTTCGAACCTGACGCTCCAAAATAGCTGTTGGCTCCACATCATAAGTCAGATCACCCTCCAACTGAGCCGTACTGAAATCTAGAACATGAGACAGATCCCCAATATACTTCCGGAGAATGGAAACATGAAACACCGGGTGCACACTCGACAAGCTAGGTGGCAAGGCAAGCTCATAAGCCACTTCCCCAATTCTCCGAAGTACCTCAAAAGGCCAAATGAACCGCGGACTCAATTTACCCTTCTTTCCAAATCTCACAACACCCTTCATGGGTGAAACCTTCAACAGAACCTTCTCACCAACCATGTAGGACACATCCCGAACCTTCCGGTCCGCATAGCTCTTTATCCTCGACTGCGCTGTACGGAGCCTCTCCTGAATCACCTTCACCTTGTCTAAAGCATCCTGTACCAAATCTCTACCCAATAGCCTGGCCTCGCCCGGCTCAAACCGACCAACTAGAGATCTACATCGCCTCACATACAAAGCCTCATATGGAGCCATCTGAATACGCGATTGGTAGCTGTTATTATAAGCAAACTCTGCGAGCCGTAGAAACTGATCCCATGATCCTCCAAAATCAATGACACAAGCGCGTAACATATCCTCCAATATCTGAATAGTGCACTCGGACTGCCCGTCCATCTGAGGGTGAAAAGCCGTGCTCAACTCAACCTGAGTACCCAACTCTTGCTGTACAGACCTCCAAAACTGTGAAGTAAACTGAGTGCCCCGATTTGAAATGATGGATACCGGGACACCATGCAAACGAACAATCTCTCGGATATATATCTCTGCCAATCGCTCTGAAGAGTAAGTAGTAAGATAGGGATGAAGTGCGCGGACTTGGTCAGCCGATCTACAATTACCCAAATAGCATCAAACTTCTTCAAAGTCCGTGGGAGCCCAACTACAAAATCCATGGTGATCCGCTCCCACTTCCACTCTGGAATATCCATCTGCTGAAGCAAGCCACCCGGTCTCTGATGCTCATATTTCACCTGCTGACAATTGAGACACCGAGCTACAAATCCCACAATGTCTTTCTTCATTCTCCTCCACCAGTAATGCTGTCTCAGATCCTGATACAACTTCGCGGCACCCAGATGAATGGAATACCGCGAGCTATGGGCCTCCTCCAAAATTAACTCCTGAAGCCTATCCAC